AAAATTCATTCCTGACAATGTAAGTAAGAAAACTTTTTCCTTGCAATGCAATACGGAGTACCGTTTCTACTCATTTTTAATAAAACGGAGTAGCTAACTCCGTTTCAATTTTGTTTTTGGGCCATACGGAGTACCTTAATCCGTCTCAACTATTGACTATTTGTCCTCCCCCCACTATTTGAGTTTGCAACTGGGATTTTCAAACATTTACAAAGATTGAATAGTAACAGGTGTAAGTGAATTTTTGAGAATTATATTTGGAAAAATTACCCAAAATAATCCCAACTTTATCCGGTCTTTCAAAAATAATCTCACATTTCACTGTGATGCATAATAATCCCAACTTTATTGAAATTTGTCAGTTTTGGGTCGCCGTTAAGTTTCTAACGGAGGGTTAACGGAAATGCTCGTTTTAGACAACAAAATGAAAGTTGGGATTATTTTTGATGAATTTTTGTTTTTCAATTTTTTTTGAAATTTTTATTTAAATTTTTTGAATTACTTTCAACCTCCATTTCTTTTTTTAAAGGTTATTCTTACTTTAGAAAAAAATAGATATAAAAAATAATGAAAATGAGAAAAATAGTCTAAGAACTTTGACTCATCAAATTTTCTCAATGTGTAAGCCTAAAAATAGTCATGTGTGATCTTGTTTGGTTCGTCTTAACATATAGATTATTAATATATAATTTTTATAATTTTTTAATATACAAATTACAAGATACAATGGATTAAAAAAGTGCATTGGATGGTGTGCCAAAAGCTAAGTGGACAAAGACAGTGGGACGGAAGGAGTATTTTACTAAAATCATTTTTGCATCTATATTTTCTTTAAGTAATTTTTCTTTATTTTGTAATTAAATTATTTTTTAATAATTTATTTATAAGTAACAAAAATCATTTGATTTCATTGAGAAACTAAAAATTAAAAAAATTATTTTTTTTAAAGTTTAGAGCAAAAAAATTGAAACAAAAAAGAAAGGTGGGATATATGGGTAACATAGTAAAAATGGGAACAAATGACATCATGGGCCGCATGATTAACAAGAAAGAATTTTTTTTTTAAAAAAATACAAGACGGAGTAGCCAACTCCGTGTGTTAATTAAATGGACGAAACGGATTAGGCTACTTCGTTTGAATAAATAATAGAATAAATAATAGAGGCTAAAACGGAGTAGCCTAATCCGGTTTGTTTTATTTGGGAAAAGTGATATTAAATCAAAATATAAAGGAATAAGTTGCAGGGTTTCTACACAAATAGGGAATTCACCCAATTCAAAGTAGTGATCCTTCTTAGAAGATCAGTTGATGAAGACGCCCACATATTTTGATTGGATGGAAACTACAGAAATTATATACTTCTCCCGTCTCCTAAAAACTCATCTGTTTTGACTTTTTTAAATTAAATAGTGACACCCATTGGCTACAAATTATGTGAAAAATATATTGAAATTCTAATATAAATTTAATATAATTGGGCTCATTTTACGATGTAGTTTTGATATGTTAAAATTTTATAGATTTATTTATATAGATTATGTTTAATTTGTGATCAAATAATGTCACTATTTTAATAGAATTAGACAAATAGTTTTAAGGTGAGGGGAGTATATATGTGTAGATGATTGGAGAGAGCATGCATGACCCACCTCGAAGCTGTATTGAATCTTGATGAGCAAAAAACATCACATTAAAAATAAAAATAAATTATGCATCCATCATCATAGGTTTCTGATTCCAAGCTCTCGAAGAGACGATCAAGTCCCTTGTATTACCCCCCTTCATTAAAAATCTGTACACAACACACTAAGAGCACTGGTAATGGTCATGAAGCCCCGGGGCTTCAAACAGAGGCGGACCCACGTTGAGTCCCACGGGGTCCTGGGACCCCACGGACCTCCACGTAGGATCCTATATATGTTAGGTGCTCTGATATGAGTAGTATATAAATTTCCAAAACCCATATTCAAATGAATACTAAAGTAGCGCAGTGGAGGCGCGGCTAACATTTGGGTTGTGTAAGCTGGAGTTCGAATCTCACCTCCTCTTTATACTTGTTCTTGTTTTGGGCTCAACTTTTTCTTCAAGTACTTAACAAAAAACATTTCTATTATTATATATTTTATTATATTTCTTTAGGTAGTATTTTTTGTATTAATATCTATTGCTACATTAGAATTTCCATTTAAATGGATACTCGGGGTATTAAATAATTATTAAAGTTTTTCAAATTTGACAATCAAACTATCTAAATGGCGTGTTATTTGAATTTGTTTAGTTTAATTCTTATATGAGTACTTTCAAAATTTAGTGGAAATCAAAAACGAAATGAGAACCTTCAATCTATTAAAATCACCTTGATCCTCATACGTTAGTAATAAACAAGCAATATATTGTTGATCTCATTCCTCATTGTTATAAGAAAATCTAAAAAATGTACTTCGTAGTATCAATTTATTTTGAATGTAAAACATTAAAACTTCAAACATGCACTCTTTGCGGTTATTTACAATACTGTGGATTTAGAATATATTGATGCATGCAAAGAGTTTATAATTTTTATTGCGTTTTTACAAGTACTTTTCCCTAAAAATGCTTAAACAAATCTTTTTTTTGTTTTATTTGTATCCTTTTTACAATTTACTTCCATTTTTAAAGTGTGATACTGAAGAATTATGGATATATCTAAATTTTTCATTCCAATTCGAGGCTTTTGAGAAAAAAAATCATTTATCCAATTACCAAATTTTATATTTAGAAAATTGTCACATGTAGAAGTTATGACTTTGAAATTTCCATTTAAGAATCATATTTTGAATGTTCATTTAAATAGTAGATTTTTTATAGCATGAGAATAATTATGTAGTATAAATATATGTTTACAATTTAAGAAACGGGACCCCATGACTCCCGAATCTTGGATCCGCCTCTGGCTTCAAACTGGGGCTTCAAACTTTTTCTATCTGCCACGTCAGCTTTAACTTACACCCAAAATTCACTGGAAATGGTTTTGAAGCCCCGGGGCTTCAAACTGGGGCTTCAAACCTTCATTTTTTACATTTTTAAATATACATCTTCTAAATTTAAATTTATAATTTTAAATTAATTTATTATTTTATTTAATCGCAATGACACTATTGCATAAAAAAAATTAAATTCATTAATAAAAAATCTTACATTCATAAAAAAAACATTAAAAAAAATTACATTCATTAAAAAAAATTACATAAAAAAAACAACAGTACAAAGAAATCACTAATTATTCGAACGACTAAAGATATGCTCGATCAAATCCGCCGTTAGTGCATTGTGAATCTCTCGGCTTCGAATTTCTTGGCGGTTGCGTCGTTTCTTTTCTTCGGTGATTTCTTCGTACATAGGCACCTCGTCGTCCGGGTTGTATTGACAAATCGCAGACCCGTTATCCTCTATGATCATATTATGAAGAATAATACATGCGTACATGATATTCCTCATTTTTGTCTGAGAATAACATTTCGACGGACGATCTAGAATGTGCCACTTAGCCTTCAAGACCCCAAAGGCTCGTTCAATATCTTTTCTCGCCGCCTCTTGAGCTTTT